CCATGCAGAATCTCCATATAAACCCACAGGAAGGACTGGCAGTTGGGTAAGAGACAGATTCATGAGTAAGGCTCTGCTCCTTTTTGTCTAATTCTCTCTTTTCTTCCACAGTCCTGGGGACATCAACAAGAGAAGAGGGAACTAAAGAAGAGGGAAGAAAATAAACAAAACAAACATGTCCTTTCTTTTCTACTGCAGATCTCTTAACACAAGTCAGGCTTTATTTTTAAACACCCAAAATGAAATGAGTCCTGATTACCAAAACCGGGCTGGTCCCTGTCACTGATGTGGCTGGAAAACCATAGGACCTGCCCTGGAAATCAGTGATGATTGAGCAAGGGAGTCCCGGAGGAAGCTCGTTGGAATAAAGTGGTTTGAGAAAAATAAAGTTCTCTCTAAAAAAGTACTTATAAGTCAAGAAGACTTATGTGGTTTGCATCTCCAATAATATTGAGCACAAAGCAGATCTCTGATATGTATTTGTGATTGGTACTGTATTAGAAAAATGGGATAAAGGTAATGCAAGGCTAATGAATGAAAAATTAATGTCAGACCAAAGACATCATTACAATACAACAAAATGGGTCACACTAATAAGTGGTCATCGTTTTGTGTGACATTTATCCACCTCTATTTTACGATTTTATATAAAGAATGAGTAACACAGTTACATTATAAAATGTGAAAATCTCAGCTCGTGGAACTGATATAAAAAGTACAGTAATTGTTCTTATTACCAAATTTTTCTTCATTTTGGAAAGATAGTCACTGAAGGAGTCCTAACACATACCTAGATCTCCTAGTGCATTTCTATTGTCTTATAAATAAAGGGAGAAATGGCTAAGAGCCATCAAATTTTAAGAGCTACAATTAATTAAGATCATATGTAAAGAGCAATAATATTTTACATTATACTAAACCAAAATAAAAATGGGATTAAAAACAAATTAATCAATTGACTCACAAACTCTCCATGATATGACAATTATGAAGCATCTCCTTTGCCCCCACAGATCTACTTAATGGTAAAGAGATTTGAGACAACCACAAGAGAAAATTTTGAATACTTCTTCCTTGACTTTGGGCAAGGGAGTTTGGCAACTAAAATCTAGAAAGTAGAGTTTGTAATTCTGGATTTTATTTCCAGATTGGAAGCCAACTTTTAGTGACCCATATAATTTGCTTACCCCCCAGCACCGTATGCTTGATTCTACCCAGAGAGTGAAGTACCATCTATCTTTCAGGGTACTGGGCAAATGTATGATCTGGGCTTGATGTTTCATAACCCTGTGGGGTAAGCAGGGATATACTGAGAGCACAGCCTAACAGGTAAACCACCTTTGCCTTTAAATCCCAAGTTATTTCTGCCAGTGCGATGGCAGGTGCCAATGAGAAAAAGCAAACAAATCTGAATGGTGGCAGCAGTAACGCCAAGCTCGCCAGGAGTGTTCCCTGTAAATACCACCATGGAACTCTTGCATGCCAAGCAAGGCTAAATACACTTTCTCTCCTGACACTGCACAATTCATCACAGAGCTAATTGGGAAGGGAGTTTAAGGACTTCTACTTAGAGTTTGTTTTCAGTAGTGGAGAGTGTTGGTCTGAAGAGACCCTAGGCATCTAGATATCTCTCTCTTCCCCTTAGAAGAACCTACTTGGGAGATGAAACTTTTCATGAGATTGGGAGAGAAGCTGGTGATACATTAAAACCCATGCTCTTTCCATTTCTCCCCTTCTGCTGCCTCTGCTGCTGCTGCTGCTGCCAACACATATGCTCTCCGCCCCCATGGAGGGCCCCCATTGCCATTTCTCCATCCATTGCCACCATCGAGAGGATTCATGCATCCATTGCACCTGTTTTATGTGGCTCTCCCAGCAACGTCCACCTGTCTATAAACAACTCTGGGGGGACGTTGGGACAAGCCAGGGATGGCACTATATTATGGCAATTTATTGGTGGCCCCTCATGCAGAGATAGGATCCCAATAAACAAGAAACTAAATGAGATTGTTTAGTGATACGTCTTGCAAGTCTGTGGATTAAATTGCAATCCTTCAATTGTGAGGCTGGATTCTGTGGCTCACCAATTGAAAATGTAGTTCCGTTGCTCTGGAGAATTTTTAGCCAGAGTGGTCAGTGAAACAAAAGCTCGAAATATTCCCTAGGGCAGGCACAGACATGGAAGAAGACAGTAGAGGTGTTTAGCTAGTATAGGAATTAGAGAAAAACTAAGTAGAGCCAGGAAGACACTCAGAGAGAGAGATTTGAAAGAGAATCATTAGAACATGAGCAGCAGAAACTCAGAAGCAAAGAAACTTAGAAATCTGAAATGCCCAGCGGTAATAAAGTGTGCCTCAGACTTGATTACTCAACTTCCCCTTCAGGCTCTGCTCTGCCCAAGGGCCCAGTCTCATGGTAGCCTTCAACAATACAGTTGACTGTAATATTGGGTATTGGCATACTGAATACAGTGCTCAATGATTATTTGCCAAATTGGATTGAATTGTCAATAATCTGTTCTTGACCCTGAAGGTTCATTGCACTGGCTTAGAGAAGTCATGCTGTTCTGAACAGGAAGGGATGGACTTAAGTGACAGGAGGAAGGATTTGGGCAGCATAAAAGAAACATTCTTCTCTGATGGTGAGGAATTGGAATTACATGGTAGAACCCCCTTCTTCAAATATCTTTTTTTTTTAAAGGCTCAAACACATTCTCTTGAGATACAGGAATATGTGAAGCTCAAAGACAATAGTTTATTTTTCTGATTCTTTCTTTCAAAGATGTCAGCCCATAAAGAGTCATAATAGTTTCCTGCCCTGGAAATCTGGCCCACTAACCACAATGTCTGAACACTGGCCCGACTGCTCTATGGAAGATGTCCTTGACTGCTTAACAAGCTCAAGTGGGGCCTTTCCTAATGACTCTAATCTTTTCTTGGGATTCTCAGGGCCAGAGATCCAGATTGGGGGGGTGGCACTCTGAACATGCACACAGATGCAAACATTAAAAAATAGGGTGCAGAAATATTAGTGTTTCCTGATCATTCTGGCTATTCTCTTTAGCATTGCACAAGGATTACTCTTCAGAAAATGGAAGGGCACAGCAACACTGGGCTGCCTGGTGGGAACTGTATTGGCAGGGCACATGGATAAAGGGCCATGTGATGCTTAAAGCTTGGGGCCAGAGGTCTTCCTCTCTTTTAGGAACTTTTTAGTGTGATAAAAACAGAACCTGGCACATTAAATACAGGACAGAGTTCATTGTATACTTTAAATCTTGTGTTGTGAGATGAAACTAGCTATGAAAGAATGATGTAGAGGGTATTCCACAAGAGAATTCCAGTAGAATTGTTTTAGGAAATTAAATGTTTGGGCTCAGGCCTCTGAAAGCCATTCTTTAAAATCAGAGGTTTAATTATTGCAATATTAGTATCTTTAATAAAAATATATATAAATTAAAGTATGTCATTCAGAAAGCCCTTATCAAGGGTTTTTCAGTATTTTTACTTTATTTTTTAGGATTTTGCTTTCAGGTGGAAGTTTAGAACATGAATTCCAAGGATATGGTGAGAAGTTATAGATTTCTCTATGGATCACATATCAACTAAAAAAGATTTTCTGCACTTAAGAACACTGCTTCTAATGTTTATAATGAAGGCTGTAGGGATGTTTATAATGAAGATGTAATATGAAAGATAATTACATGTAACATAAAAAATAAAGTACCAATTCCGAATTCTAAATAAAATAAAGGTTAACATTATCTCTTTAATTCACAGACTGCTTATTTTTTGGTCGTATGAAAAAACAGAACATAAGGACAGGGAGAAAATGTTGTACTTTAAACTATTCATTTACAACTATTCTTTCAGAGTTTCATTACAAATGTTTGCTCAGTATTATTTAGATATTTTGATAAATGTTATACTCTATAAGATAACCTTCAGGTATATTCGGGTGCCTAGATTGGTAGCATAGAAACATGGTCTGCTCTTTGAAAATAATGCTTTACACAGTTTATTTTTTCTTATTGTGAGGGATTTTCATATTTAGCAAGGTCTTTGCACATCTTAAAAACTGTATGTATTTAACTGCTAAGACCACAAATTTCATCTTCTCCATGAAGCCTCTTCAGTTTGAGGGTTCCCTGCTGACCTCTCAGAGATTTCTTAGCTAACACTTTTGGTAGATGATATTCTCTCTTGTGTTTTGGTTTATGGCTGGTAGGTGGTGGAATTTGGGATCTGAGTCACCATGTGGTGGAAATTATAGGCTATAATTCACTACTCCTCTTACTTTTTTCTTATGTTCAATTCTCATCTCTGCAGTATGATAAAAGAGAAAGCTCTGTGATACAAGAACCATCCTGTTTATGTATCTCCCATAGAACATCAGCCTATGCGAGGTGAAAAGAAAGCTCTCAGAAGATAGTAGTGAACTCAATTAAATTGTATTATGGGCCAGAGGTGATCAACCCGGAAAAAATCACCACTAAGTTTTAGTGCATGTGATATCTATATCTATATCATCCAGATAGATAGATCTAGAAATTTAACTTACTTTTTTCCTCAAAGAGCCAATAATATCACATCTATCTATATCCATATCTGATCTGAATCTGTATCTATATCTGTATCTGTACCAAATCTGTATCTGTATCTATATCTGTATCTGTCTAATTTTATCTATGCTTCATCCCCATTAGGTATACAGAGACACATTCAGTATCCCCATTTAATGGATTTGGAAATCACACCAAGAGAGATTCACTTGTTTGCTTGAGGTAATACAAATTAATTGTGGCCTGCAAACTGGTCTCCAACGTCCCTTATACTCAGTTCAATACCTTCCCCAGGACTACATTGCTCTTTTTCACATGTGAAAGATTTTAACGTATTTAAGCTCTAACTGAAGAAAAATGATAAGCTGGATAAAGAATCAATTTCAACATATTAACCAGATACTCTAAGCATCTGTACTCTTTTTTCCTAAGTTCTTACCATCACGGTGAAAGCATGCACAGTAGAGACGTTAAATGTTGGATCATCCGGTCTCTCTTGGTAGACCACATGGTACTGGGAGATAATGCCATTGGGCAATTCTGGCTTTGTCCATTTCAGCAGAACTGAATGAGCACTGGTGGCTTGCACCCAAGGTGCTGGCAGATATTGAGGTGGGGCTTCCAGGGTTCGTGCTGATGACCACAGACTCTCCACTGAGCCCCTGGAGTTGTGGGCTCTGACTCGGTATTCGTAGAGTGTGAAAGGCATCAGAGTATCTGAAGCATCAGTGAATTCAAGGGCTCCTTCTGACCAGACAAACAAAAGGGACTCCTCTTCAATACCAGCAGGACGTCTGAAAGGAGACCAGGAAGGCAATCAGGGACAGCTGTACACTTCACAAAAGAAGGTTTGCACGTAGAATAAGAAATTGCTTTTCAGAAAAATTTGTTATTAATTCAACTGCCCCTTTCTGAAGGGGCATAATGAAGACCAGATGGAAGAGTATACAAGAGGCCTGACTCAGTATCATTTTTTAAGTGTATTTTTTAATATATTTGGCTAATCATATAGAACGTATATATTTCATAGAAAACATGGAAAACACAGAAGGAATAAAAACATTTAAACAATGCAACACCACCCATAATTACATCTTATTGTATTACCTTAGAAATTTTTCCTTAAAAAAATTGCACATGCAATATGTAGAAACACATACATTATTTAAAAACTTTAAAAAAATCAGAAGCATATATATAAGTACATTAACACATTAAAATATGTCTGGATCTTTGTATGTTTATGAATATGTGTGTGTGCATATGCATATGCATTATATTGCACAATTTTATTTTTTGCACAACTGGAAATTATACTACATAGAATTATTAGAAGTTGATATTATTGGGAATTCTTACCCTTCTATAGTAGCTGGGTTGCAGTAAGTATTCCAATTTGTTTGTCTCCCTGTACCCACGTCTATTGCTAATGTGCTCTCAAACTCACTCTGAACTTGGCTATATGACTCTCACTGGTCAACAGGACATTAGCAAATATGATGAATGCAGAGCCTTGAAAAGTGTTTGCACATTGAGGGTGACCCTCTTACTGCTCCTAGAACCACAAGATCTTTGTGTGAAAAAATCCTGGCTAGCACACCGAAGGATGAGGAATGACAAAGAGAAGCCCACGGTTCTAATTCTCTTTTACTTGCACAATGTTATTTTGCATCTGTTTCCAGGATATTTAAAAAATGTTTTAAATTCACATCCTGCATGTCATGCATTTTCTCTTCATCTGAATTTTCTCTTCTTTAATTAAGTCATTACCCTTCAAAGCAAGGGCTGTTCTTTCTTGTATCCATCAACAAACTTTTTATTGAGCACTTAATATACACCACACCTTGTACCAGGAGTAGAGGTACACATTCCTTCTCTAAAGGAACTCATGGCTGAGTCGACAAGATAGAGCTAAATGCAAATTAATGAAAATAACAAGATAAATTATATGAATTTGCTCTAGAGATCTTTGAAGGCCAAAAATCAAATTCCTTTTAGATGTTTTCTCCAAGACCTAGTAAAATTCAGAGTATGCTCAAAAAACCCTTTCAAATGCCTGAGAAAGGGATTCTTCAGTACCATCTGTAGATTCGACTAATATAAAAACTAAGGACCATGCATACTATTTTGGTACTCAATATATAGAGCATTAAACATCTAAGCAAGAGAAATGGAATTGTCAGTTGTTAATATGGCCCCAAACATCTGATATTTCATTTGGAACAGTTATTTGCTTACCTGGATATAAAGTCATGATGCGAAAAATAAAAAATTTTAAAGAAATTAAAAAAAGATCTGGTTAGCTGCAGACCTAATCAGAAGGGGAAGCTTCTGATGCATCGTGGTTGATCTATTTCTGTATTCCAGCATCTGAGCCCCGTAAATTCAATAATCTCTTTGAACAAATGGCCAAAAGACATGTAATTCCATGGCTTTTCTGCATTTTTGCCTCATCTCTATTAACTCTTTTTACCTGCTAGGGTAGTATTCTAGGTTGGGGAAGAATGTGCCCAAGAGATGACCCTCTCCTACTCAGCTTCTGCTCTGTAGTTGAGAGAGACTGATGGATAAAGCAGAATTTTCCAGGCCGTTAGGAGTATTTAATGAACATGCTCTTCAGATGCCAGGATAGTCACATGCTGCCATATCAGATTAACCATCAAAATGGAAAGGGTTATTAACGCAAAGTAAATGTAAATGACCTCTCACAAAAAGGCAGGATATTTAAAATCTCTGGCTTTGGGAATTTGATGATCCTCAAGTTGATAAATCACAATGACCTAAGCATAAGCAATGACAAGCCTCCTGCTGGAGACTATAGACGCTTCCTAGATACCTCTCAGTGACCTGCAATTATGTTTCGGCAACCCACCTCATTATTCCTTGCTACCATGCGTGGGCCAGATTCTGCACTCAGTGTCGGTTTGCAGGGTTTGGCCTTTGTACTTGCTGCAGATACTAGGTACCAGGTGTGTCATTGGGAGGGATCCATTCTAATGAGGACCACAGGGCTCACAGCCAAGGACTCCTCTCAGTGAGTTTTTAAAAGGTGTTTGCAAGGAACATAATACAGCAAACAAACATAAACTTCTATGGGGAAATAAAATTGTCTGTTTTGTCTGGCTTCAAACCTTCTATGACAATTCAATTAATTTTTATTAAACTCTCATGAATTTCCACATTGAGGTGTAGCTGTGGTTGTGACATTCTTTTAAAAATTGCCCGAAAGCATGAATTTTAAAAATCTGTGCTATGTGAGAGATTAAATATTATGTTAGCTTCAAGTTTATCCACCAAAACAATTAAAGGATGCAGCCTGGTTAAGTATTTCTTGCCCCTATTGAATAATCAAAAAATTAACATTATGTTGAGGTAAATGCTCCATCTGTGGTGTTAAAAAATAGAATATCTTCAGGTCTGAATAAACTTTGAACAGAAGAGGTTAAGTAGATCACAGTTATTACTAATTTAGGGTTCAACTGTTCATTTAACTGGAAGTGTTTCCTCCTGAACAGTCTGTTTAGTGAAATCACATTTTCAGTTCTCTCTGAATAGCCAAATGGTTATTCTATGCTTAAGCTCATTTAGGAGATACTTCAATAATGAATGCCCTTTGAGTTAATTTAATGTTTCTTTACACTAAGAAGAAAACAAAAATGAGAATTAAAACTATGAACCATTTATTTTAAAAGATTCATACTTATGTTTTCTTACTGTAGTATAACCTTAAAAAAAAAAAAAACCAAAAAACTCCTTATCCCTCTATTCCCTGCAACAATTCTCGGCGTTTGTCTTCAGAAACAACCAAAACAAAATCCTATAACTCAGTTCATTTCCCATAGCAATTTCAGATTATGAAACTGCCACCCTCACCTTATGAGGAATAATAAGAATACTAATTTAAATATAAAATCCAAAATACCTGATACCTGTAGTCCAAGGAGCTAGGTTGTAGGCCGCTAGGTTGTAGGTCTAGGCCTACAACCACCTGAGTAGATGACCTTGGGCAAAACTGACCTGTGCTCTCTAGTTTCCATTTCACTTTGTAAACTGCAGTTAATAATCTTATAGTGTATAATGTCCCAGCATTTCTGTAAGAATTAAATCAAATTATGCACATGAAAATCACTGGGTTAGACATAACACATGATACAAATGAAGTTATCACAGAAATGGCAACCAAAGCTGCTTTTAGGAAGACAAATCCAGCAGTCGTATAAAGGCTGCGTTGAATGGGAATGACAACAGGTAGTCACACAGTGAAGAGGTCATCTCAACAGACCACACGAGAATAAAGATAGATCCTGAACTACAATTGGTGGTAGAGGAAATGGAAACATGGGTGGTTTACAAAATGCCATGGGAAGGTTGAATCATCCAGCTTCGTGGAGTGAGTAGATACTCTGGTGTAGGGGGAGGAGACGTCAAAGATCATTCAAAAGTGTTAAGACTTAATCCCAGTTAGAAACGGTAGTGATTTGCCATGCAACTGGCCTATGCTTATCACTCCAGCTTCATGTTTCAGATTTTTATTCCATTTGTTATTCCAGTCATAATCAAATGCTTGCCTACAGTTTTCTTCTATTCTATGATAGTTCATGCTTCCATGGCTCTGATATGTCAATCCTGTTCTGCAATGCCTCGTCAAACACTTTCCTCGTCCTCCCCCTTCTATAGGCTAACTCCAATTCATCTTTTAAAGCTCCACCACAATCACTTTTTCTAGGAAGTCTTCTCCTTGTTTCTCTCTCAAATAGAATTGTCATGTTCTCCTACGTGCTAAGTCTTTTTTTCTATTGATTCACTTGTCATACTATATTGTAATATATTTCTTTCTTTTCTATCTCCTATACCATACTACAAGCTCCTTGAAGGTGAAGACTCTCTCTTACTTCTCTATATATTCTCAGCCCCTAGGGAAGCATGGCACACTATAATAAACAGTAAGTATTTTGTAAGCAATGACTGGATGACAGACTGGTTGACAAGAAGAGACCAAAATTCTCTGAAACCTGGTTAACTAGAAAAATGTGCCCATTATAACCCTTTCCTTCAATATTTTGGCTTTATTATGGTGGAGCTGGGACTCTGCAATGGCATTTCTGCTTTACCGGCTGTCTTTGTTGAACTCTGCCAATAGGGGGCGCCAGAGGGAGAGCAGAAGGCTGAAAGGACAAAGGAACGGGCTCCTTACTTTGTGTCCTGTTTGCTTGCTGATTATGTGAGCATTTCTCCAGCCAGGATTTTTTTACCCTGAAAATAACAAATCTTTCCTCCTCATGAGAAGTTTGAGTATAAAATTTGAGTATAAAATTTCCAAGATGGCTTGGAAAAGCCATCTTTATCTCGTGCCTTCTTCCCAGACACCTGCATCAACTGGAAGCTGACTCCTCCTCAGGTGTCTGGGTCCCAGCATGGGGCGGGGGGTTGGGGGGGTGCTCCCCTCTAGTTACTGAGTTTTAAGAAGTCTAGCTGCCTCAGTCCCAAGGGTAGTAGCTGTTTCCGGCAGTTGTTACCTGCATGATATCTTAGAGTTCACTTTTTTTCCTTCCAGTTACCTAGTTATCAAATTTACAACTAGTTAACAATTATGTATGTTAAACTCAGTTAAGATGACTGTTGTGGTTTCTCCTTCCCAAGCAGAACTTGCTACAGAGAGTGATGATGATGTTCACAGAAAGAGAGAAATAGGAAAATCATGAACAGGGTGGGGATTGATTTGCATCTGGACTAACTGAATTTACTATTTTGTCTTTATCACACCATGATATATTTGTTGTGAAAAGTAAATAGA